CTCCCCAGGACACTACCTACTGTCTTGCTTTCAGGAGGAAACACACACAGAAATCACTCTGGATTTGTCACTTTCTTCCTTATTTTTATTTTATTTTTTATTTTTAGAGACTAAGTTTTTATGAACCCCTTTAGGGCAATGAACTCTGAAGTTTGACAACTCCTATAATCAGAAATTCTTCTGCGTTTCTAACCAAAATCCTATTTGAAGTACAGGGTTCATTAGGTCAACAGCTTGTGATGGAACAGGCCCATTAAATCCGACTTTGGGGTAAGTTAAAGCTTGTGAATGAGTCCTAGCTAAATAACGTAATTTCGGCTCTGAACTGAAGCCAAGAAATCTGCTGTCTATTTCACAGTAAGTCTTAAATGGAAAAAGGATGTCCTTTGTGTAAAATCACCTTGAAAAGGAGAAAGCACTAAAGAAAAGATTGCCATGTGGTTAAAGAGTTTTCATCAGATGGAAGGAGATTAAGAGGATATTTAATTAGGGTAAGCTGGCTGGCTGGCTAATGCCTTGGAAAACTGAAGGTATGGACCAGTTGGGATCTGGGGATTTCTGCAGTCCTGGCAACCACAGGGCATTTTCTACAAGGACACTATGAGGAGGACCCAGGGGACTGTTGGCTGAGACAACTGGCATGTTAAGGAGAAGTTCTGCAGAATCAGTTAATCCCCCAGATAGAGTAGCGCAACACCCTAAAACAATGATGGAGCAGACTGGAATGTCATCTGTGTGAGGTGGACATTGGAGGACCAATAGATGGCATCATGGTTATGTCGCTGGACTTCCAAGTAGTCAACTGTGGTTTGAGTCCCGGACCAGGCATCCTAAAACTCACACTGAGCATGTGTGTGTGTGTGTGTGTGTGTGTGTGCGCCCAAAATCCTGAGAGGAGAATGGAGGAGAAGGAATTGCAGTGTGACCATCCCTTCTAGAAGGTGATTTTTCACTTTCTATCTCTCCATGTCTCTCTGGCAAGCACACACACCCTATAACAAAAATCCATCTAAAAATGAAAGAGAGAGAGACATTGGGCAGGTGGATCTTCTTGAAAGATGTAAGTTCTTTTTAAATCAGCAAATGTCTCTGCCATCAGACTCCTTAGAAGGGCTTTTTAAATCAGCAAATGTCTCTGCCATCAGATTCCCTGGAAGGGGCAGTGTCTGAAAAGATTTCCCCATGTCTTCCCACCCACTGCTGATGAAGGTCATAAATTTATGTCCCATTCTCATGGATACACGTAAAAGTAAAGTGCCCTGGCGAAGCAAGTGGTATGGTGGTTAGGACACTGGATTCCATGTGGCAATTCTGTGGTTCAAGTCTTGGACCCAATGGCTTGAAAGACATGCCCGGCATGAATGCCAAGATTCTGAGAAGGGAATGAAGAAGGGATTGCAGAGTGACCTTTCCCCTGAGGAAATCAGCTGGGGAGGGTGATTTCTCATTTTCCCTCACTCTGTCTCTCTCTGTCCTCTCTCTCTCTCTCTCTCTCTCTCTCTCTCTCTCTCTCTCTCTCTCTCTCTCTCTCTCTCTCTCTCTCTCTCTCTCTCTCTCTCTCTCTCTCTCTCTCTCTCTCTCTCTCTCTCTCTCTCTCTCTCTCTCTCTCTCTCTCTCTCTCTCTCTCTCTCTCTCTCTCTCTCTCTCTCTCTCTCTCTCTCTCTCTCTCTCTCTCTCTCTCTCTCTCTCTCTCTCTCTCTCTCTCTCTCTCTCTCTCTCTCTCTCTCTCTCTCTCTCTCTCTCTCTCTCTCTCTCTCTCTCTCTCTCTCTCTCTCTCTCTCTCTCTCTCTCTCTCTCTCTCTCTCTCTCTCACTCTCTCTCTCTCAAGTGCACATGGCCTATGGGAAAAATCTTTAAAAAAAAAGTACCTAATTTCACTCCTGTGGTTCTCTTTCATGTATTCAAATAATTTTTATCTTTTATTTATGAGCAAAATAAAATCTAATTCTTTAAGGAGTGATTTCCTGGTGTCACGCAGTTATTTTTGCTGTTTGTCACTGGAAATTCTCCAACACTCTCATTTAAGGTATCAGTTCTAGAGCCTCAAGTAGATTCAGAGCGCACCAATAAAATACCATTGGTTTTATGAAGAGTGCAGAGGAGTGATCTCCTCGTGCTTCTGCGTATTTATCGTTCTGGTATAGTTTTAGTGTATAACTCACACTTGATACGACTTCACTTTGAAACAGAATGACACTTCCAAATTCTCCACTCTAGGTCCTTTTGATTATTTTACTCCTAGTAAAAAGCAAAATATTTTGGAAAACTGTGTCCAAATGAAACTAGAAGAAACTCTGCATTGATTAAGTAACTATTTGGCTACTTTAGACTTATAAATTCAACTGAAATCTGGTCAAAGTTTAAATAGTTCAAAAACATTAAAAGTTTGGTGTAAAAGCATGGAGAGCAACTGTGGAGACTAGAGACAGCATGGGAGGAGGTGGGAGGGGAAGGGGGATAGAGAGAAATAAGTAACTAGGAGAGAAATATCGACGGTCTACATGCATTCTACTGTGCAAATAAAAATCATTTTTGTTCTCTCAAATTTCTACTCAGATTTATGTTACTATTTAATCCCATATTACTATGCCACGCTATTGCCTGCTCTGTCCCACCATCACTACTAACAAAAAAGAAACCCCTCAAAGTACCGTCTTAGTCAGCTCAGACTACCATAAAAGAGTGGATGACCTGAACCACAGAAACTTCTTTTTGACAGTTCCAGAGGCTGTAAATGTGCAGAGTACCAGCACAGCTGTGTTCTGGTGGGGACTGTCTTCCTGACTTGGCTTGTAGATGGCCACCTTCTCACCATGTACTCTCGTCACCTCTTTTTTGTGAGAATAAGAAAGCTTTCTCCAGTCTTCTTTTTTTATTCCTTTTTAGATATATTTTTTTTTTCTGTAGGGAATATGTGTTCACCAGAGAGAGACACAGAAAGAGAGAGAGAGAGACAGAGAAAGTGAGAAACAACTCCCCAGAGAGAATGGCCTTGCCACAATGCCTTCTTTATTTTCTTCTCAGGATTTTGGGCACATACACACATGTGCTCATCATGCTTTTCAGGTCACCTGGTCTGGGACTCAAACCCACAGAGTTGGCCATGTGAGATCCCAGTGCCTTTACCACCATGCCACTTGCTGGCTCTCTACTGTCTCTTCTTAAAAGAGTACTAATACCTTCAACAAGGCCCAATCCTTGTGACCTCTAATTAGCTACCAAAACCCCCAGGTCCAAATACTACTGCCTTGGTTTCAGGGCTTCACTGTGAACTCTGGGAAGACACAGTTCAATCCATAGCAGCATTTAACACCAAGGAATTTCAGATGAGAGTGTGTGGACCACTTTTCAAGCATATGTGCTAGATGCATCCTGCAGGCTGTCTTTGTGATCCCAACAGCAACTTTATAAGAAGAGCAACTTTATGAGATAAACTGACATTAGTTTACAGATGAGGAAGTTAAGTCTTAGAGAAGCTAAGACAATTTCTGCAAGGCAAGGCTTGTAAGGAAAAGCAGAACCTGCACTGAAAATCAAATGGCTTGTTGAAAACGATGTACTTATGATTACCATGTAATACCCCCAGTTCTAATACAAGGGTGTGAATTACGTTAGAGATGGAGCAAAATGATTTATCTTGTGCAAAATGACATCTGCTCTGTTGTGGGAAGAATAATTTTAGCAAGAGAGTAAGTTTTATGCATTTTCCAGCTGTGTATTGGTAAGAGTAAATATAAAAAGGCCGTGTTGCTTAACAATATCCGTATTACTGTGAAATTAGCTAGAACTCAGACTTGTATTCAATGGACTAGACTGTTCTTCCTTTGATATTGCTTATAACATCATTCCCATAATTATGGAAATCATTTGAAACCTTACAAAATGTATTGCAGGGGTCTTAAAAAGTTCATGGAGAAAGCTTATTATGAAAAAACTGCATGGACTTCAAAATTTTTGCACCAAAAAAAGCTCATACTTTAATTTTATTTTTCCACTAGCTTTTTGAAATCTCATATTGATGTAAGTGGTCTCTTTGTAATATAGCTAATATTCATAAAGCTATCACTGTGCTAAATGAGGCATGTTAAGTACACTTCCTGGTTTTGTATTTTACTGCCCTATGTTTGGGTAGTGACTCCTGTCTGTACACTGTGGCATGCGCTTTCAGTCCTTCCCTTTTCAGCCAAATAACCCTATGACACAGGCAGCATCTTTCCAATTTAATTTGCACATCAAAGCTCAGAGGACTGTAAGACTTGCTCCCAGTTGCCTGGCTGGAACAAGGGGCTGAACTGGACTTCCAAGTTCAGTCTTTCTAGATCCTTAGCCCATGTTTAGGATTACTAATATATTTTGTTTATTTATTTATAAGAATTATTTATTTAATTTTATTCATTATTATTATTTTAATTTGCTAGAGGGCACATGCACTTGCCAGAGAGAGAGAGAGAGAGGGAGAGTGAGAAAGCAAGCTGCCAGGTCCAGGACTCAAACTGCTGTCAGCCATGTGGGATCTCAGCACCTTAACCACCCTGCCTCCTGCCGGCCCCCGAAATCACTTCTCCATTTCTGCAGTTCCTTCTCTTCCATTCTCCTTTCAGGATTTTGGGCACGCATAAACATGACATGAGTTTTAACCCTCCCAGTCCAGGACTCAAACCACAGTCGATCATGTGGGAGTCTGGCACCTTAACCACCATGTCACCTACTGGCCCCTCTATTTTTTAAATTCTTATATGGTGCTCTATTTTTTTCTGTGTGCAGAATATTTGCATATAAATTTTCTGAATTGAATATTTGTTAAAATTGTATGTCACTAAGGAAAATAAGTGTCTCTATGTATAGCTTTCCACAATAAACTGCACCCATTCATAAGGAAAAGGGCCTTGAGAAATTAACTGACTCCTGTGGAGTACCCCTGTGCACTAGAATGCTTGCTAAAGCCTTCTCTACCCAATAGCCCCTGAAGTCTCCTTCTTACCTGAGACACTAACTTGCCCATGGTTGCACAGCCAGTAAGCAGCACAGCCATAATGTAGACCTAACTCTGGCTGATTCCAAAGCTTTATTCATTTTCTGCAATACAAAATGTCTCATATATGCTTGTGTTTTCTGAACCTGTCCTGTTATCACTTAAAGTGTATATAATTTATGGTAAGTTTTAACAGTGAATTTTATACTAAATAAATTCACATAGAATTGAGTTAATTAAAGCTAAATAAATAAACCCGGGACCAGTAGTTGGCATAATGGCTATGTCACTGGACTCCCATGTAGCCAACTGCGGTTCAAGTCGAGACCCGGTGATTTAAACTCACACCAGGTGTGTGTGCATGCGTGCCCAAGATCCTGAGAGGAGAATGGAGGAGAAGGGACTGCAGCGTGACCATCCCCCCTGGGGGGTGATTTCTCGCTTTCTGTCTCTCTGTCTCTCTCTGTCTTTCTGGCAAGCGCATGCGCCCTATAGCAAAAACCTCTCCAAAAAAATAAATAATTAAAGCTAAATAAACCCTATGCTGATATCATATTCTAATATTTATATTTTTTGATATTGTTTCATTAATTTAGGGGTGTGGTTTAGTAAGGGGTTAAAAAATAAAGACCTACAGCATGATGTACTCAACACAAGTGTGTCAGAGGAACATCAGGAGCTCTTCAGGAGTGATTTAGCTCCTCATTTCTAGGTGCATATTGAGGAATCATTTGATAAATAAGGCGTCTCTAATCCCAGGTAGAAATAGAGAGGTGTGTTTGTGTGCACAGGAAGTTCAGGGTTGTCTTTTCTGTGTTTTACAAGGCAACTTGAGAAGATCTAGAAAAGACAGCAAGAGTAAATTCCAAGTGTATGTTTGCTTTATTATTTTATTTTCCCTGTGAGAGGATCCATGTACACATCTGTACAAGAGAAATAGAGAGAGAGAGAAAGAGAGGAAGCATTCTCCAAAGGGGGATGGCCACATTTCAATCATTTTCCTCATTCTCCATCCCATCAGCATCTGGGACATGCACACACATGTGCCCAACTTGTTTTCCAAAGTCCTCGGCCTGGAATTCAAACCATGGATGGCCGTGTGGGATTGGGATCCCCATGTACAACACCTATCCACTGCTCTGTAAGGCTGGCTGCATGTATACTGTTTTACAATAAGAAGTCTTCATGCGATTGTTCTAAGAGTGCCTTTTTACGTGGGAAATACTGTCTTCTAGTGAGTAATAAGCAACGCACGCGTCAATGGAATCATAATATCTGGCCTGTATTAGTGAAAGTAATAGCATGACAACCTTGTAATTTAAATAAAGACAGAAGAAAGGTGTAGGAATCTGAGTTACTGCAATTTTCTTCTATGGATTTCCACATGGTTGTGGAGAAATTATACTCCAGCAAAAGTATGCTAAAGTTTGAAATTGAAAGTCATGATTCCTTTGTATTTCCAGACCACATCCATTACTGGAAAGAGAGAGACTCGTTTTACAATCTCACATTCCAACGTACATGTAGACAGAGTGTGATGGGGTGGGACATGGGTGACAATGAATCTAAAGGGCCCTGTGTATTAGTCGTACAAAACAAGGGCAGAATGCATGATGATGATGCGTTGAGTTGTTTTGTTTGGTTTATTATTTGTTCTGTGAAAGAGAGAGACAGAGAGACAAGTTCTCCCAGCAGGGTCTCCATGCTGCAGTCTCCCCCCAGCTTCAGCTGACCAGCCTCATAGGCACGTGTGAGCACATGCATGTTCTCAGGGAGGTCCTGAGACTCAGATGCAGGACTTTTCCATGTGAGTCTGGTTGCTTTCCTGCTGTGACACCACACATGCCAGGTTTGCGTTTTTGTCATTGTACTTTTCATTTTTTCAAACTAGTGCTATAGTCCGACAGACGTCTGTTCAGTTCCTGACATTGTTTCTACCTGTATTTTAAAATGAAGATAGCAATTGCTACTTTATCCAGTAGTTATGAGGAATAAACGTGTATATACATTTTAAAATGTATTATACATAAGAAGTAATGAATATATACTAATTACTATACAGATACTAGAGTGAGATAAATGTGTCCACTATAAAAAGCATATCCATGCTGCTTTCTGAATTAGTACATGAGCATCTATTTAAAAAAAAAATGATTTTTAACTTTTTTTTTCAAATTGGGAAGTTGAGCATTATAGAAATGCTTCATTTACCCTTATTAAACCATCACTGTGCTAGCATGGAACACGGAGAATGGGCTGCTAGTACGATGCTGAGAATAAATGTTTGTACGGCCCTGACACCCCAGTCATTTAGTTCTATTACATTCTAATGCAACCCACACACTGAAAACCTTGTAACAGTCTTTTCACCAAAATGATCATTTAGTATGAAATATTGTATTTTTAAATTTTGCTGTAATTTTCATTAGTAGCATGCTTATTGCTTGGGGAAAAAAAAAGTTCTTCTCTATAACGTAAGCAGAGTTTACAAATTTATTCTTATGCATTAATTGAAGAGATAAACTCCTGGTGCTAGTAAACTCACATGAAAGGATGGATAATAGGATTTCTTTATTTGCTTTCAGATTTTCAGACGATGCTGGTTGGTGTTCAAGAAGGCTTCTAGCAAAGGACCTAGAAGGTTAGAAAAATTTCCGGATGAAAAGGCAGCTTATTTCAGAAACTTTCATAAGGTAAGTCACAGGCCTGGAAGACCCTGGGGCACCACTGGACCCTTGACAACTTGTGGGGACATCCCTTTGATAGATGAAATCTGTGGGGTGCAAATTCATGGCCAGGGTAAAATACCCCTGTTCTGATAAAATGCAAAAGTTACTTTTCTCCTTTATTTTAATCATCTGCTGTAAATGCCAGTGATCCCTCTGCAAAATGAAAGACTCATTTTTATTGCTACTTTGCAAAATGAGATGACTCATAACTCACCCAGATCATCCTACAAGGCGCTGAGTAGGCATTTTCCCTCTGGTCAGGTTAATTGTGCATTTGTTACTTTGATTTAAACTCTGGGCATCCTTAGGAGGTGAAACTTCTGAGGCTGGCTTTAGTGGTGCTAATGATATTGTTAATGTATATGGCATTTGCTGTTAGCTCCTTACCAAGAAAGTGACCATCAAATATGCCGATGCGTATATAGATATGCCATCAATCCTAGAAATGAGATATCAAATTCCTAACAATTAAAAGAATATAGGGGCCAGCAGGTGGCAGGGTAGTTAGGACACTGGTTCCCTCATGGGCAACCATGGTTAGAGTATCAGACTTGGCAGCCTGAAAATCATGCTGGGCATGTGTACATGCATACCCAAAATCCCAAGAGGGGAACAGAGAAGAGATTACAGTGTGGCCATCCCCTCTGGGGGTTATTTCTCACTTTCTCTTGCTGTCTCTGTCTCTTCAAAAAGTGCATGTGCACTGTGGCAAATACGTGTGTGTGTGTGTGTGTGTGTGTGTGTGTATAAAATATAACCTCAAAAGAATATTGCTACCTATTGAATATTGCTACCTGAAGTTTACTTTGATAATAACATCAAAACACTGTAAAGTATTTTAGAAAAATTCTGAATGTTCATAACAGAACTCAGAATTGTAGAACAATGCACCTGTTGGCAGAATGGCTACACTCAGGAAAGATTCTAATTCTTCATTGATTATAGTATAGAGTAAGTCATGCTTGATAATGAATTTGTGGAATTTTATTTTAAGTGATACACAGCTCTAATTTCCCCTTTTATTAAAATAAGATTATTGACAATAATGTGCTAACATACTTTTATGCAATTAATGGGCAATCATTTATATTGTATTTGACTTTAAATCACAGAACTGATCATGGGAGCTTCCTTAACTCTCGATGAGGTCTTCTTTGTATTAATATAGCCTTCCTGCCAGAGAGGACAAGGGCAGGTTTCTGCACTCACTCAGGACATTTGGTTGTGCATGAGTAGGTGGGGTTTAAAATTGTGATATTGCACGTCTCTAAAGATCGCTAGATGCCTTTATGAAGCAGTCAGCACAGTGCAGCCCAGAAGTTGGACTATTACCAGGTCTTACTACATTGGAAATGACCAAAATCATGCAGAGTACATTCTCTGACCATAAATGATTTACATTAGAAGTTATAATAACAGATCACCTAGAAAACTCTAGAACTTTGGAAACTAACCTTTTCCATGGGGTAATGTTTAAAGATTCAAAGTAGAAATTGCAAAGACTCTTGGCAAATATTCTGAACAGAAAGGTATGAAAAGTACAAATATTGGGAACCAGCAGTTAGTGTAATGGCTATGTCGCTGGACTCCCACGCAGTCGACCGCAGTTTGCGTCCCGGACCCGGTGGCTTAAAACTCAGGCTGGGCGCGTGTGCGTGCGTGCCCAAGATCCCGAGAGGAGAATGGAGGAGAAGGGATTGCAGCGTGACCATCCCCTCTGTGGGGGGGTGATTTCTTGCTTTCTGTCTCTATGTCTCTCTTTGTCTGTCTGGCGAGCGAGCGCACTCGCCCTATAGCGAAAACTTCTCAAAAAAAAAAAAGTACAAATATTAAAACACAAACAGCGAGTCTGGGGAAAAGTACATAAAGACTGATGTTGGAAAGAAACCATAGAGGTGGGAGCAAAGAACAGTGAAGTAGAAAAAAAGAAAAAATGTTAGGAGAATTTTACAGATCCAACAAGCTGGCCCTCTGGAAAAGAAAATCAATCAACAGACAATTGCTACGCCAAATTTATCAACTAAAAATAGGAAAAAAAAAAAGAATCAAAGATTGGGATTAGTAAAAGGGCTACAAATTCTACAGACATTAAAAGGATAACAACAGTGTGTTATGGGTGAATATATGCCAAAGTGTCTGACAGTTTACATAAAGTAGGTAAACTTCCCGAGAGACACAAACTACCCAAGCTTAATCAGTATATAGACAGCTAATTGAAACACTGAAGATAGAGTTAAGATTCTTTCCACCAAAAATAACCAACTCTATATTATTTTGCTCATTAATATCACAACACATTTAAAGGAAAAAATTCACATAAATACCTACAGAAAGGAAAAAACCCTTATCACCTTATTTTATTAGGTGTGTATTACCCTAAAACTAAACTAAACCAAGGTGTTAGAAGAAAAGTACTGATGATACAAACCGAAGTTTCTTAATAAAATATTTAAATCTCATTACCAATATGCTAGCATATCATAATCAAGTAGAGTTTATCATAGAAATGAGAAGTTGTTTTAACATTTGAAAATCAATGCCATAATGTAGGATAAAACAGAAAATTATTATATGATCCTTTAAATTGTTAGAAGAGAACATTTAACAAAGTTCAGCATTCATATACAATTTAAAACACTCACAAAACTTGAACGAACTTCCTTAGTCTGAAAATGGGCATCCAACAAAAACTTACAGAAAAGAAAAAGGAAAACTTTCTATTCCCAAATGGTATAATTGTTTGTTGAAAATGCACATTAACTTACAAAATAACTACCAAATGTATTAATTAATGTATTTAATAGTTAGGTTGCAATGGTTCTAAAATCTATATACATTCAATATAACACTAATAAAAATTCTAGGAGTCTTTTTGTAGATATCGACAGACTCATTGTCTCTGAAATGTGTATCATTTAGATTAACCGAACAAGTTTAATAAAGAAAGTTGGAATTATTGCACTATAAGATATGAAGACTTACTGTACAGTTAAATCATGATAATATAGTATTAGCAAGAGGATATGCAGGCAGATCAGTGGAAAGGAATATAAAAGTAGACAACAGACCTTTGAAGATCAAGAATCTCAACCACAGTGCACAGGGGTTGCACACTCTAAATCTAGCTTCCATGCCAGCAGCTGTATGAACTTTAATAAGCTATTTAACTACTATGTACTGGATTTTTTTCTCTGACAAATCTAGATCATGATAGTACATACAATGGCAGGCTATCACAAGGAAAAATGCCACTGTAGAAATATAACAAGATGAAATGTAGCTAAATATTACAAAGAAATGATGTGTTATGGTTATGCATGTAATGACTTAAAGTGTTCTTCTGTGTGACAAGGTGTAGTAAATATGCATCATTATCAGTTCAGGCCAAGTGTGACCGTGACTCAGGTGAAGGTGTTCTATTGGGTCTGAAGGTAAAGGACAGACTGTAGAAGGGCTGTGGGAAACTGACAAGAGGTGCTTATGGATGGATGTTGGGCGGAAGGGAAAGGTAGGAAGCTTGGGGGTTTATGATCCTGGAGATGAGTCATGGTTTGGATAATGATGCAATTCATGGAGATGAGGAAACCTAGGAGGGCTGCCTGGGGGTTAAATAATAAGCTTTCACTTGGTATATGTCAAATTTGACACATCTATTGAGCATTCAAACTGAAATGTCAAGTAGTCTCTTAGAAAAATAAATGTGAACCATGACAGGGGAAATGCTGATGCCACAGGAACTCACTTGGTTGGTGGCATATTGATAGCACTTTATGCTACAGCACTGGATAAAATGTCCTTGGGAGAGGGAGAGAAAGAAAAGGAGATTATTAGTCAATATGAGCTTTGGAGAATTAGTGTAGAAGGAGGAACCAGGGTAGAAGTCCGGGAAAAACAGTAAAATAGGCAAAATATCATTACAAACAGAAAGTTGGAAACCGAGAGAAAACCATTAAGACAATGGTTTTACATCTAATACCACTGAGAGATTGAATGATATTCTAGAGGAGAGATTATTGGATTGACAACAGGGTGGGAAGTGTTGGTGACTTTGACAAAGGCTGTTTCACTGGAACGTGGAGACTGAGTTCACCTAGCGTGGCCGGTAAGAGAATGAGAGATGAGAAAGCGACTGCTACTTTAGCAATTTCCTCAAGAAGTTTTGAGCCAAGACATGAAGTAGGTGTGTTTTTAAAACATGACATACACACAATTGTGTATTGCCACGTGAGAACAATCTCGTAAACTGAAAATGTGGTGAGGAGAAAGTTCCTGAATATAATTTTCAGGTTTTGCCTTTGACAGAACAAAGAATGTTTCATTATAACCAAAAGAGAGGAATAGCATATGAGTGCAGGTACAAGCAGAGTGGATACAAATTAATATTAGAAAACTGTCACTAAAACTTCAGAAACATCTGTGCTTTATGTTTGATTTTTTTTTTTTCTGTATGTGAAAATTAAGCAGCAAAAGAGCGTGAGAAACAGTGGGCATAGTAATCGTTAAGGGAGTAATCTTTAATAAAGAACGAAACAGATTTCATTGACTGTAACCTGAAGCTCCCTAAAACACTTTAATAACTAGGCTCAGTACATGTGACAGCTAAAATTGATCTTTCTCATGGCAAAGCTATGAGGATTAAAGTTTTTATTATTACAACTTTCTTTTTATAGCAATGAGAAGACTAATTCACTTTCTTACTAACTTACGTTTCCCTTTAGGAATTTCATCTTTTTCTTCTTTCTGTGTTTGATTGTGAAGTGAAACAGTGAAGTTGTACCAGTCCTGACAGGGAGAATAATCTGGACATGATTCATAAGTAATAAAAAAAAAAACCTTAAGGAATGTTTGCAAGAGAGTATGTACATGGTCCCTTTTCTCACAAACCACCTATTTTTTTGTTTGTTTGTTTATTTGTTTGGAGAAGTTTTTGCTATAGGATGAGTGCGCTCACCAGCAAGACAGAG